AAGTGCAGATAATAGAAAAAGAGTTTTTGAAAGTACGGAGCATCCGATTCCCATGATTTAAAAAACATTATATTTATAATGATGGGGAAAAGTGGTTATTAGTTTTATATTACGGATTTTAATTTTACTTACTCAGTTACTTACGGTAACTTAATACAAACTTACTAATTCCTAAGCTCACTCATATACTTTAAATAAAAAATTTAGACTTTGCAACTCAGTTTATATAATTGTTAGAAATATAAAATAAAGCTTATCATTCTAACTCCGTTTGAATAAGATTAGTTTATTCACTTTTCATGTAAACTTATATAAACGTCATCGTCCAATTCATAAGCTCTTCTATTTCGTCTATAAAATACGAATGATGAAAGTTACAGTATTTATAATAATATTATATATTTGAAAACATTTAATGTTTTTCGAATATTTCATTACGAAACGAAAAGTTTCAGCAATTTTCCTTAAGCCACGATACCATACACCACTAGTTTAAGTGTGTTGTTTATCGTTGGTATTAGTTAGGTTAGGGAAAGTAGGTAATCTAGAAATAAGTATAAAGCTTATATGTCTAAATATCTATATTTGTAGGCCGTTAAGCTGAAATAAATATTGTAAAAAAATAAATATATGTGAATATAATTAAACTAGTGATGCATGGCATTGTGCCTTTAGGCAAATTGCTGGAACTCTCCGTATCGAGAGCTAAATTTAAAAAAAACTTTAAATTATTTTCAAAACTGAAAATAGTTCTTTTGAAATTTTTGAAGAAAATTGACTTAGAAGTTCTCAATGCAATATTCATATTCTAAAAACTATGTTGTTTTTATTTATTGAATAAGTAATTTGTACAGAATATTTCCATATTCAAATGCTCTTTAGTGCTTTCTGAAATAGAATTCAAAGAAGCACCGCGATTTGTTACATCATTGCATTATGAGAATACAATAAACAGAGTTGCTAAGTAATTCATATATTCCAAAACATTATGAATACAAGAGAGGGCTCAGAAGCAATAAATTTGTACCAACATTTTTTCTTAAGTCGTTAAGTTAAGCATGTCATTATGTTGGAGTTATATAATATATATATATATATATATATATACACATAAAGGAAAACAAATTTTTCACAATCTTTTCTTTCTCTATTATATTGCTTTCGTAAGTCTTAATAAACGTGATAATAGATGGAGAGTAAAGACACTCTTGTCAAATTAATAGACATTTTTTTATATATTTTGTTACGACAATTTACACTACATGATTTGATTTTTTGTATGGTGACACAAAGATATAATATTTATAAAATCCTACGTACTTTCACAATTTGAACGCTGTTTGATATTTTCATCTTTGATCAAAAAAATCATACGTATGTTTGAAAAAATCATACATAAGTTTACGCCGATTATTATGGTATAAGTGTAATGGTAATAAATTTTATAATAATTTTTCCAAAATTTGTTGCTTAAGAGAATAAAGTTCAAATGAAAAAAATGTACTTTTAAATGTAGATATATCTTCAATTTATACTATTTTCATGTATCTCATTTTAAAGTCAATAATATAGGTGAATTGATGTTTTTCCTTATAACGAAACTTTAGTGCCTGCACATTTTTTTATGAAATTCATATTCTGATATATTCTCGGTATAAAAAATATTATTTGTTAAAAAAAGAGATCAGAAAGTACTGCACGACAATGGTCACTGCGAATCTTCTGTTAATATCTTTTATTCCAAGAAATTGTGTATTTTCTACTGTGGTATTTTTCGAAAAGTACACTTTTCGAAAGTTCTATATTATGAATCAAGTGTACATGAGTAATGTTTACACAAAAAGTAAATTTATTGAATACGTTAAATTTAGTAAAAATGAATTTCTTTTCTTTTTTTTCAGAGTCGCTGATTCATCGAAATGCTAACGCTGTTTGTAAGCCTTATATTTCTGCGTTGTGTTCACCCACATGATGGCGAATTTGAAAAGGTAATTAAAGAAAATAAAGAATAAAGAATAATATCTTGTATGGTGTACATCATAATATATATATATATATATATATATATATATATTAGGGTTTGTCGGTTTTCAAAAACCGGTTTTGACAACCGGTTTTTGACGAAAATTATGAAATTCGAAAACCGGTGTTTTAGCGGATAAAACCGGTTTTTATTATGTAAATAGGAAATGACAAATATACTAGATGGAAGCAAGCGTTTTGATACTTGGAATCATATCGGTTCGAAAAAATTTGGAATCATATCAGTCTGTTCTATCCCATAAAGATTCTGTGTTATCTTTTGTTTAATGTATATATTAATATATATATATATATATATATATATATATATATATATATATTAATATAGTATATATTAATTTAGATTATTATATCAATGGATATATTAATTTAGATCAATGCGACTTCTTGTTGAAAGAGTGAATTGCTCTACTCAAATTTAAAAAAAAGAGTTTTTAGCCCTAGAAGCCACAAATAAAAGAACAAAATTTCCAGAATTATTATATCACACTTTAGTTTGGTTGCAAGTGAGAGAGTATTACTATTTCGGAAATTTTTCCGAAATTTTGTGAGTAAACAAAGAACACTTCTAAATAACAAATCGATAGGCGTGCTCAGCTTTTAGCAATCATATTTCATTTAACTAAAACATAAGTAAATATTTGAAATTAATTAATTAAAATTGTTCGGAATAAAACAAACTCGGGGTTTTGTTTAATTATTTCTAGAATTAAAATTTACATTAACAATTATGTATCAATATGTATCTATTTTTTTATTTAATTAGAAGTTAAAAGTTTTTTTATTTAAAAATGTATTATTTTTATTTATTCAAACTCTTATTTCACTATCATAAAAATATTTATAATCTATATGTAAAAATGATGCATAAATAACAAATAATCATTTTCAAAGTCATTTAATCCACATCAACTATTATTTCTTTGTTCTACTAATTAAAATTAAATATTTTAGGATATTCGAGCAAAAATTGATTTTTTATATAAAATTCGAAAACCGGTTAAAACCGGTTTTCTGGGAAATTTAAAATTCAAAAACGGGTTTTCTAAAATGTCGGTTTTTGTAAAAACCCTAATATATATATATATATATATATATATATATATATATATATATATATATATATATATAGGGTATCCCAGACCTTGGCGCCAAGCCGTACCAAAAATTATTTAAAAAACGAAAATGCTTTTTTTACTAAAAAAAATGATTCAGCTGCGTTGAGATAAAATATATATTATATAAGCGCGTAACCACACACACACATCATTTTTTTCTAAGGTATGCCCAAATGTTCAGAAACCTCTGAAACTCGATGATATAAGCATTTTCATTTTCGATTATTTTGCGATTATTATAACTTACCCTACGGGAAGTTAAGAAAATATTATGTTTGAAAATTATGAGCTTTCAAGTGCAACCTGGAGCTTTGGTAAAATTATGACCATTCTGTTATTATTGTTAATTTTCACTATTTTGTTCATTTAAACTTTGGAACCATGATCGTGAATAACATTTCGAGACCACAATCAAAAACAATAACACAATTTCTCAAGTTTTCAAGAATGAAGACTTTTTGTTGAACTATACAAAACTTCTGAAACGGTCGATTTTAAGAGGCCCTCGTGTAAAAATAATTTACTTAGCACGTATTGGTGCATTTAATCGTAATTGCAAAATGGTAAAGTACTTGATAAATTTAGTATTAAAAATTTTGAGTAAAAAAACCTAAAAATGGCATGATTTTTGCTAGTACATACGTATTACTCAGAATTAGAACAAATCGTACGCGCAATCTTCATCGTGTGAGATAAAAACAGTTGAATTGATTGTGAGTTTTACAGGAGAGCATTTTAAAAATTATAAATTCATACAATCAACAAAATGTCTAAATTTTTGAAAACTTAGGGCAATTGCGTTATCGTGGAAGTTTAAATGAACAAAATTAGTAAAAATTGACCACAATAACCCATAATTTCACCAAAGTTTTAGATAATAAATATACATGAGATAATAAATATACATTATATAGTATCATAATCAAAGGTAGTTATATTTGTAGAACATTAGATAGTTTTATTATAATCTCGAAATACTTTCTCATAGTTATTTTGCTTGTAGACTACTTTTACTAAATTTCTTATTTAATAATAAAACATTTTATTATATTTCAAACGAAAATTTATTATCTATTCGAGAGTACCTCTTAAAATTAATATAAGAAAAATTATATATTGCAGAAGAAATAGAGGATGCTTTTTGCGTATTAAACAACGTAAAATGGTTTTGCTGTGTTCGCGCTCTTCACGGGTTGATGTCCCAAGACGTTTTTAATGTTTTATATGGGCACACGACGGGAAACTGGGAAACCATGGCTGATTTCATAACAAATTCGAAGTCATTTAATGTATAAACCCTTTCAATTAATTACTTTTACAATACAATTAAATGTAACAACGATATTATTAGTGATAGTATTAAGAAATTGCTTTTTGTTTCTAGGCGATCTACTGTAAATTTGCGTTGTATAAAAAGTCTAACAGAATAAATTTTCTTGAAAAATTATAAAGATTCAACCTTTTTGGAATATATTAAATTCTTTTCAAATGGATGCTAAATTTGAAAATATGATACTTTTCAAGTACTTCGATCTCAGATGATTAGAAATACAAATCAGCGAGGCTCTCTGGAGAGCAAAAAATGTGTGAGATTACTTCAGGTGTAACACTATTGGGCGCGACTCAAATGATAGATTCTGGAGGTAAAGACTTTCTCATCTGGAAATGGTCAAGTACTCCCGTTTGAATATTCAAGTAGAGGCTCCGGATGGCAAAGCCATCGAGACTACCATCAAAGCTCCAGATGAAGGGTCGCCTTTTGGGTTATCAACGGAAAACCTGGGTAAAAGGCAGAGAGGTTGAAGTGTTTCAAAGGAAAACGTTATGGTCTACTTAAACATGTGGTTGTACAGAGGTGTGAAAGTACCAGGAAAAAGCGTACGTTATCAAACACTGTATAATTGACAAAAGTTGATTCAGAAACAGCATTGAAAATGTTAGGTTTTTTTCAAGTCGGTATAAAGAAATAAATTTGAAGAATGATTTAAAAAAACGTAGATGGCACCTGGAAAGCATTAGACTATATAACTTTAGGTAAAGGTCATGAAAATCTCCACAAAATAACAATATCACGTTTCTATAAATGCTCCTAATCGTCATATGATCCCAAGAAAAAATACAAACTACAGTTTTTCATTGTGGAGAAAGAAACCACATATTTGGGACCAATCACATTGCTTTCTGCTCTATTTTTCTCACCTGTGATAGATTTTCTTGCTTCATAAGTTGACAAGTTAAGTAGACCAGAAGTAATTTCACTAAAAGACAAAGACTGACGCTATCAAACCAGCCACATTTATATATTAAGCTCCAAAGTCTGAAGCATCAGATATATTAACTAATGATTAAAATACTCAACTTGGATCATCAGTTTAGAATTTTTAGAGTAGGCAATTTATGCAACAACCATTTAACGTTCACAACCAAATGGTCTTATTGAATGCACACAACCCTAAAAACTGAGTTTTTCTGAATCTTGGTCTAAAGTTCTACCTTTTGTGCTACTTGGCATCATATATAAAGAAAAAATAAAAAAAAATCTGCTGCAGATTTGATTCACAAAACTACCTTGGGAATACCAAGTTTCTTACTTCCGGAAACATGTAAATTTATTATTATTATTTTTATTAATTTCAGTTCATATTGATTGATTATGTCTTTTATATACACATTTCGGAACAGAAATTCGGAACAGAAAATTAAAGATTTACTTAATGTCTATGTAGGACAGTTGTAAATATATTGTTGAATAAAAAAAAAAAAAAAAAAAAAATATTTTTATTAATAATTATCGTCAGATCATTAAAACTGGTCATAATAACAAAACAAAGGTAAACAATAACAGTTGTAAAGAAATTTTGAATACTGTAGCTTATTTTTAATGTTGATTTTTTTTTTTTTTTAAAAAAAAGTAAAGGTAAAATGCGTTTAAATATGAGGTATTTATACATCCATAAAGGTTTTATGGAGATTATTTAAAATATATACGTTTTGTCTCATGTCTTAGTCTTCATTTCATGGGCAAGTACTAAAAAAATATATTTTTCAATATTTTTCATATATAGTTTTTGGTCATGTATAGGTTTTTAGTATGGTTATATTTATAATATTGAATACTTATATAGAGCAAAAATGTTGTGTCTCCGCCATTGAAATTGTCAATTTCCATGTAATATTATTGTATATGTATGAAAAACATGAGAGTACGATTTATTTTTATACACAAGTATGACCGAGCGTTTACTGAAATGAAAGACGTCATATGCTAACAAGTTTTTTCAAATGGCAGCTTTTTGTTTTATTAATGCAGCGTAGAGAACGACAACTACAATAATAGAAAATTCTGGAATGTATTTGTTTGTGTCACTAGAGATTTCTCGTAAATATTTTCTTTTGGCTTCTTACATTGTTGTCAATGGCACTCAACTATGAATTAGTAGCATTAGTTGCAGAAATAATTCTTTCTTTAAATTTGTTGAAACTACTCAATATTTTTATTCATGATATAAACTAATGTTGCATGTTGCATGGCATCGCGCCTTGAGGTAAACATATTATATTAACATTATTTCATTAAATTGGTCAACGGGCGTATTCTACAAACAATTTACGTATATCTTTACAAGATATGTAAACATATATGCATAAACAAAAACTAATCCAGCCAAAGTAGAATAAAGGCATTCCAGGAACTTCTGAAATAAAACTTTTTTGAAAAAATGATTTTTTGCAAAAATTTAAAATTTTTTGAAAATGTAAAATTTTTCGTAAATTTTGAATTTCTTTGTTTTTTTTAAAAAAAATACTAAAATTCTCAGATTTTTGAAAAATGCTGGATCTGCCTTTCTCTAAAATGTTTTTTAAATAATTCAAATCAATTCATAAAATAAACTTTTAATATTAAAAATCTTGGTATAAAACCCGCAAATAATGAAAGCAATTTCTATAATACAACTGATAATTTGATTTGCATATGAGCAAGGATTTCTTATGACCACAATTTTTTTTCTATTTTTTTTTTTGCATATCCAAACCCGATGAATCTATCTGCCACCTCTAGTCAATTCTTCATTTCGTCAATGCAAGTAAAACGTCTTTTAAATTATTCAAATTCGTTGATCCGTGCTTTCGAAATCGTTGACGAAAAATTATATCCGCACACGTACACACACACAAACACACATCCATTTCTTCTAAGATATGACAAAACGTTAAAATATGCAAAAATTTTAGTTTTTGATTTTTTTTATTGTTTTGCGATTACTATAACTTACCCTACGGAAAGTTAATAAATCGTATACATAACTAGTGGTGCATAGCATCGTAACTTAACGCAAATTGTTGTAACTTCTCGTACCGTGAGAAATGAATATCATCAATAAGCAATAAAAATAGTAATATATTGATTATTATAAGTAATTTGAAATTTTTATAAATACTGCAAATATGTAAGTGCTAATTATTATAACGTCTATCAAAGATTTATAAATGTAATACAAAAGTGAAACATGTTTTATCCTATGCAAATCGTTGAATAAATATATCCTTTTTCACGCTTCTTACATTTATAAATTAGATAGATTTTTCATAAAATATATTCTTATCAAAAGCATTTATTCTATGATAAAAAAATATGTATATAATTATATTTTTGTATTTCTTCGACAAAATTCAAACTACCAATTTAAATATTAATAATTTTAATAATTTTACTTTTATCATATAAAAATTTCACAGCACTATTGATAGATTCGGATAACACCACCTATATTTGACAGGGATAGAGGATAAATTAAAATCGGAATATACTTCAATATTTAGTTAATTAATTAAATGCTTAAATTTTGCAAATAAGAAACGAAACTAGCTGTAAGTGGAATTCTGTCTTGAGGCAATTATGGCATCGTGCCTTAAGGCAAATTGCTGGAACTTCCCGCACCGTAACAAAATGTTCGAGGAATACTGAATGTTTTCAAATAGATTATTATAAATATTGTAACATTGTGTAATATTTATAAGAATTATATAAACCGAATTGCAGAGTTGAAATTATTTGTAAAGTATATTAGAACTATAGTCAGAATTAAAAATAAAATCTGAAATATGTTCGATATACAAAATACTTAAAAAAAAAAAAAAAAAAAAAAAAAAAAAAAAAAAAAAAAAATTGGAACAAAATTTTTTTTTCCAAAATCAATTATTTTGTTAAGACTGTTCATTCAACATTCAACATTTAACATTCTGTTAAATCGGTTGATCCGTGCGCCCTAAAACGTTACTGGAAATTTGTATCCACACATACATACACACACACACACACACATACACACACACATCCATTTTTTCTGAGGTATGCCAAAACGTTCAGAAACCTTCAAAACGTCGAGAAATGTAAAAATTTTCAATTCCGATTTTCGGCCCATTACAATAACTTACCCTACGGGAAGTTAAAAAGTGTACGCAACAGAGCATTACATAATGTTTATAAAGAAATTACATCTTATCATAAATAGAAGTTTTCACGGTAAATAAAAAGAAATATTCGTTCTGTAAGTGTCCAAATCATTAACCGTTTTTCCCTAAGGGCTATCTATCTATCTGCGTTCGTCTGCCAGATCAGTCTCGGCCATTTTGGGCTGGTGGAAAACCGGATAAAGGAAACCGGATACAAAAGTCGCAATTCCGATTTACGACCAACTCCATAAAATGTTATTACTTTCTAGTATCTACTCTACGACGAAGAATGCCCGAGATACAGTTATTAGATTGTAGATTTCTTAGACGCAGCAGGAAATATGTGTATTTAAAAGGGTTTCGTACCTAAAGGGTAGGAATGACCTATTTGCGTTGGTTTTCGTTTTTGCTGTCGCGATAGTAGAATTTTATTATTTTTTAATGTGTCATTAATGTGCAACTGTTATGAATTATTCTGAGCAATAAATGTGAGAATAAGCAGTGCAGATATTTTTATCGTTGATTTTTTTAAACAAAATAAACTTCATAAAAATGTAAGGTTTTTGTTTAAATAAGCTGTTTTTTCATAATACTTATGAAAAAAATGCAGATCTCATCAACGGCGATCTTTTAAATTCAACTAAGTCGTAAAATATAAAGTGGGATAGATTTTGAAGGTCGGCGGATAAAAGGGTCTACCACCATTGTCTCAAAACAAGTAAAGAATATATAATTATTTAACGATACTAATCAAAGTAGAAGGCAAAGTATGTACAACTAACTATCCATAGTCTTAAATCTTACTTCTTCTGTATCAGGAACTAAACGGTCATGTATCAATACTTATAACAAAAAAACTTTATCCGATTTGAGCTTTTTTATTTATTTCATGATACCTGAATATAATTTTAATTATACGCTATTTAATTGTTTTATAAGATGCATTGTTATTCTTAAGTTATATTTAACATATTTTATATACCAGCTTTTATTAAATTTTCTTTTAAAAAAAACGGCTTAAACTTTTACACTATTGCAACTACGAGGATAATTTCTTCTGACGATTATCCATACGAAGGTTGTTTATAATCTTAGTTAAAAATGTACCAACAAAAATGTAGTAGTTCATATAAAATTTGTTTCACTTTATTTGTAATTAATAAAGAATAAGTCTGATTATGATAAACAGAAATACCTAACAAACAGGATTTGTTATAGTAGTGAAAAATTTGATGAAGATTTTTGTTTAATATGTTTAATGATATATGTTTACATTTTTTTTTTATTTTGTTCAGCTTAATAAACTGCATCGCATTGATTTCATAATAAAGCTATCATTTCGTAAAACCTCTGAGATTATCAATAAATAGTGGACAGTTTGCACCCTGTCTGACCTTTTTTATCACGCCTATTGGGGAAAAGAAAAGGGACTTTTACTGAACATAGTTTGATATTTGCTTTTCCGATATGTGTTATATGTTGTATATATATATATATATATATATATATATATATATATATATATATGTGTATATATATACTATTCTTTAAAAATGTAGGTATGAAAGTAAACTATCATTGAACTATATAAAATGCCTTAAATAAAGTTTTATTTTAGCTTCAACCTTTATTATTTGTTATATAGTGAATTATGTAAATAGGTTGTCGACGTAACAATTGTACGAATAACGTCCTAAATCAAAGATTTTTTTTTCAGGATAAAGTTGAGGCCTCGTTATCTGCGGTGCATCAGATATCGTCCGAAAGCCTCGGTTCTATATGCCTCACCAGGCGCTATAAGTCCCTTCAGGTACCAATCGCTACCGATAGATACGACAGCACCAGGCAGAAGGCCGATATGGCTGCCAAGATACTGCAGAACGTGGGATTTCGCAATAATAAAGGTAACTATAAAATCTGTTGTTCGCAGCAACCGCATACAATTTTTTTTCTAGCAACCCCTGCCCCCTATAATTTTAACTATTTGAACAGTTTATTATTAAAATTGTATAAATATTTAGGTTTTTTTATTAGATTTTTAATCATTCTGGATACTAAATCCACAAAAAATTATAATCCAAAAGCGTAAAAAATACATTGATTATAGAAAATCGAGGCGATTTGCGGGTTGAAAATAATCAGATATTTTTAAATGTTCTATTATTTCTAACGTATGTGTAATATTAATATTTGGGGTTTGAAACATTTTACTTATTTATTATGCGATTTATTCTATTGAGCTAATCATACCAAGAGAGCAAAACAAACTAACCTCATTTTTATACATAACACTCGTATTTCATGTTGGATTTTAAAAATTTTAATTCAAAATAATTTTTCATTATTTACAATATCCAGAAGTGCATCGTAAACTTCTCCTTATTGATATCGTAAGAAGCGAATTGTATTCACCTTTAATTTCCTCACCACATTCAGAGTATTATATCGTTGTTTTAAAGTTAAAATTTTAACGTATTTTAAAAATATTGTCCAGAAGTTAGTAAAAGGTGCAAAGGAATTACATATTTCTTAAACTATATTTAAAAAAACTAATTATTTTTGTATCTGTATTATTTCTGCATAGTTAATCATTAAGTTTAGGGTATAGGCACCACTAGGTATAAAAATGTCAACAATTTTTGATTCAAAGTAAATTATGCTTCCATTTTTTGTATTTGCACCACTTTCATAACCCTAACTACGCATGTCTTGAACGTCCAAAGTTCATCAGATGCGAAAACATTTGCAATAAAAACAAAAGTTTTTAATTCAATTTCTCGGAATAAATAAGCCAATTTCTAGGCACTGACTCTCCATTTTCCATTTTTTTCTGTTATAATCTTTATCCATTTTTAAACAATTTACGTTTCAACTAAATCAATAATTGACTAATTTGCAAAGTTATCAATAGGTTAATTGTTCCTATTGATATCACATTGCAAACTATATATGCTTTTTGTGTCTCCGTATCCATAGTTAAATTAGATTTTTGATTATAATATATCAAGTTTTCTTGATTTTATATTTAAAAAAAAATGTAAATAATATATTATAAATTTCATTTCCGAATCTCGTGTTGGCGCCCCCTAAGGCGCAAAATCCATTGTTTCTTCCGTCAATACAAATGAATCAAAATAAATTATTCAGATTGAACGCTCCGTTCTCTCTGAAACTAATTTGTCATCTTTGTACTTTTTGCCTCGTATCTTCGAAACCGCTGCACCTGCCTTTTCCAACAACTAATTACCAAGTCTCTTCATCAATATAAGTTGAATGTTTTTTTAATCATTCAAATCGGATGCACTGTGCTCTCAAAAACTTGATTTTTAAATTCTGCACTCTTTGCTTTGTACTTCCAAAATGGCTAGAATCGTCTTTGCCAAAAACTAATCACCACAATAGGAATCGAATGATTATTGAATTATTAAGATTGGTTGAGCAGTGCTCCCGAGAAAATCGAAAAGTTGTATTCATACATATATAAATACTACATACAAACATACGCACACACATATTTGTTCTGAGGTATGCTAAAATGTTCAGAAACCCCTAAATCGTAAAGATATGCAAAAATTTTCAACCTATTTTTGGACGATTACTATAACTTACCCTATGGAAAGTTAATAACATGCAGTATAATCTGCCACTTAAATTTTTAAAGACCGAGTAATTTGACTGTGCAAAGTTTGTATAATTTGGTTTGAAATTCATGCAAATGTAATGTGTGAACATGTTTGCATTTGAATATGTTTGAAATGAAATTACTGCTGTATTCTACAAAAAAGCTCAATAGATCATTTAAGTAAAACTCAATAGTTATTTAAGGTACAAAAGGCCAGAAAAGGGACGAAAATTGTAATATTTTAAGTATTATGCAGAAAAATTAATAAATAGGAGAATCTTGTCATATTTTTTCATTTATTTTTTTTTTAATTTTAAATCAGTTGATCCTCAATTTGGACTTCAGGATTCGTGTTCAGCGGTAAAAGATATATTGGAAAGTATATGCCGCATACCTATTAGAGACAACCTTTTTTTGGGGATCTGTGTAATTTTGCTGTTGCAAACTAGAATGATTGAATATAATAATAACTGTTTTAATTAAAGTATTTCTGATATAAATTTTTGCATTATTTATGACCTTAACTCTAAAGTAATGCATAGAATAAGTTTTTGTAATAAGTAAGAATAATTTAAATTTTTGTAAATAATTTTAATAATTTGTGAGTAGATTTTTTTAAATATAATAAATCACTCAATTCTCTTACTTATTTTGTAAATTAACACTATTCCTACCGGGACCGGTCCAATGACCGTTTTTAATTTTTCGATGAGTATTTTTCATATCAAACGTAATTGAATCGTCATCAAACTTTTTGACTTTTTCTAATATGTAAGAATGTAACATTTTTCAATGTTAATTTGTTTTTTCAATTTTTATTTTTGGAAGGGTATCTCTTACCTACCGCGACCGGTCATTTGACCGGTAGTAGGAAAGACGATGTTCGGACGGCATTTTTTGTTGTAATTGTTAAGAATATTATCAAACTTACTAGAAAATGTAAATGCAGAGGTATTTATAGTGGTAAAAACAGCCTTCTGCAAATTTATATGCATTTTTTTCAATTTTGTATGCACGCAGCGCACATGAGGCAAGGAGTATAAATATTGCACTTCTACGGTATAAAATGTGGGTTTTTCATTTTTGTTCAATTTGTATGTGTAGACAGATTATTACGAAGAAATCCAAACAACAAATTGATAGGTTTTGTTTTGAATCCAAAGGTTGGTTCAACTTCATTACCAGCAATCAAAATTGTTATAAAAGACCACGTATTACTATCGACAAATATATATTTTCAATAAAGGTAAGGTGTAAATTTATTCAACACATGATCAATAATATAAGGAAAACGTAGTATAACTATAATAAATTTTAGTAACCTTTCAATATACGATATAAATATAATTATGCCCAACAAATCGCACAAATGGGGTGTAAAATTTTGATAACCATCCAGTATACGTAGCAAACTAAGAAATTCTTTGTGATGGTAGGTACAATTGAAGCAATACAACAGCTACAGATACTGGTAGAAATAAAAATCAAGGACTTCATCACTCAAATAATATTGAAAGCCAAGAAAGAAGATTCTAATTTTCACTTACATACACATATGTTGAAAAAATTGCACTGATATGAGAGTCAATTCAATTGGTATTAGCGCCGCGTTTGGTGTAGATGTCATTCATAAAATAGTGAGAAATCATTTGGCAAATATGAATTTTAGAAAGAATTTATGGAGGATTTACATTACTTTGGATTTATTCAGGATAAATCCATAGTTGTCACATAAAGAAATTACGGAAAGACAATGTACAAGGCAGGAACTTTTTATTCCAATTAACTTGCCGTATAGTTCCAACAAGAATTCAGAAAAAAATCAACCAAGTACAAGTACAAAACAGATTCCCTAAAAAAATATTTTAGATAATGTTTTAGAAAGATGACAGGGCAAACAAAATCAGCCAAAAACGTAAAAAAATGCGTGTGCAGAAAATACACTATAAGAAAAAAAAATCGTAAAAAATTGATAAAACATAATAAAATGTAGATTTCGCATTCTAAAATAAAAGAAATATTTTTTATTTGTATTTCTAAACTCTTAAGCTAGCATTAGCCTTTCATTCAATACTGAAAAATATAGATTTTGCATGACCGGTCGTTTGGCCGGTCGCGGTAGGAATAGCAAACATGTCGGTAGGAATAGTGTTAAATACTCACAATCAGTACACACACACAATATCATTTTTGTGGAAAATCTATCAATAAGACAATATAAAATAATTTTGGAATGTTAAGATATTAATAAAAAAAATATTTTGGGTTAATTTGTGATTTATCAGCTCGCTATAAGTAATTTGAATCATTCCATTGCAGATGTTTCCGACAGTGTAGCGCGAAATCTTCTAAGATCGGAGCCGCGTGTTGTGGGCTCTAGAGTTTTAACTACAAACGCTAGTAGCGGTCAACTGACCGCAGTTTACTGGTGGACAAAACCGCCTGATGAACAAGATTTAGGTAGAAAGAAAAATATTAGTAAAGAAACGCAGATACGAAAGGGATTGAATTCTGAATACCCTTGGTAAGTCCGATTTTGTTATCATAAAGAAGAATAAATTTGTAAAGAAATGAATTTATAACATTTTATCATTTAAATCTTCTACTATATAATATTCATATTGTTTTATTTTAAAACTATATTGTGATATTTGCCTATATAACATATATTGTTAAGATAATTGACATCAATAGAATCAATAGTATAGGTGGCCTATTATCAACAAAATTAAGTTGCAACTCAAGATTCCAGTGGCATACAAGATTTTTTTTCTGAACATCAGAAAGTAGACCTACATGCTCTTATGATTATACTTTTTAACTACATATCTTTTTGAGAAAACAACCTAATCTATGTTTTTAGAGTTTTACCAATAATAATAATATATTTTTAACTTAACACAAAAATCTATATTATCAAGTAAAAATAGATACGGCTTGTTAAGTTGTCTGAAACGCAAATTAATGGACCGATTCTGCCGTATAACAGATTAATGTTATGGAAAGGCTATGTTATGAAGAACTTTCCATACTATTTCGTTCTAAATATTGATAAAAACCATGTAGTTACTGTGCAGTCAGGCATATTTCTCAGGCTGTCAGAACCTTACTTAGAAATCGCATAAATATCAAGAAAACAATCTTAGATAACAGGGTCTTTCTGACGCAGCTTCATAACATACGAGTGACATTGTAGTTTATGTGTAAAACGCGTGAAGGCACAGCAAAAACGTGACATGTTGACAGTATTCAGTATGATTCAGTACTATAATGTATGAAAGTTAGAGCGTAACATGGCCTTGCTATAAATTGGTCTGTTGTGGAGCAGAATCGGCCCATAAACCTGGGACTTCAGAAGTACGAAACTATGCTATTACCTCTGCGCTATAAACTCATTGTACAAAAATTTGAGATTTTGCATTTTTATTCAAGGGTTTTCAACGTTTTTCAACAAAATGAAGATTATCAATTCAACCAGTTAAAATTTTAGCTGTGTACGTTGGCTCGTTTTTGATTATTATCAATGCAACCAGTTTAGATGTTGACTGTCTACGTTGGCTGTCTCATGAGAAGTGTGAAAATGCTCTCGTTGCCTTCATGGCTTTACTTTACAGTAATATACAAGTTCCATAAACCAGTTTTTTGAGCTTTTGAATTTCATATGCAGATTTCTATTGCATACGAAAACTATTTTTATATTGAAAAATAGTTAGAGAAGTGAAAAAGCATAATTTCCACAACCAACACACCAACCGTGGGATAAATATTGCACCTACATACCAGAGAGAAAAATGCTCTATGTCTCTTGTTTTATGTAAACAATAATAGAATTAATGTTTTTAAGATTCATTAACAAAATGATGAAAGTTTTTTTTTAGTTTTAATTTTCGGTACGTGAAGTTCCAGCAATTTGCCTTAAGGCATGATGCCATGCATCACTACTTTGATAGTATTCGATTGAAGTACAGACTTTTTACGCATTAGTGGAGAAAATTATCAAATCAAAGAGGACTTTAATTCATATTGTGGATGCAACGTCGAAAGTTGTTCAAAATATAATAATCCTACAGTTATGTAGGATAATAAATACGATAGTTGCGAGAAATATGCAGGTTATTAGATTTCGTGGAAATTGAATGTAATTGCTTTATATCAAGGGCGAGCAACCTTTTTCATCCACGGGCCAATTTCAATTTTAAAATTTCATGGCGGGCCGCACGGATTTAATATATACTAGCTGACCCGGCAAACGTTTTGCCTCAGGAAATATTTTTAGAAAATCATTAGTATAAAAAATGGCTTACTAATTCTGAATGTACAAATATGTAGTATATAAATTGAAGGGACAGCTAACACAAAAACACATTGATAATTTACCCAATGCAACGCTAGAATACTAACATCCATATTTGTATTATGTTATGCTATGCTCAGCGAAACCAGTAAGCAGTAGCGGCGCGAGGCGTCGGCGGTGTCGGCGGCCGCCGACGGCCTCGCGCCTGGGGGGGCCTCGCAAGAGGCCCCGGAAAAATTTTAATTATTTAAAATTTAGTTAATTTTCATACGGATGTGCGAGTAAAAAAGGTGATTAGTGGTTTACAGGCACTATCATTTTACTCTTTTATCTTTTATGGACATTATCTAATATCGTCTGTCAACACTATAGATTATTAAATCTAAACAACTTTGCGCAAGCTAATTCTCTGGTTGTTTATATTTGTGTATTTCTTATGGGAGCACTATGTAAATCATCGAAACAGTAATTAAATATTCGAGGAATAAAAATTTATCAGTGAGAAATAACAATGAGATAATAGCAAAATCTGTTAATTTGAAACTAATCATTGTTTCACACCGTCAACACAAGCAATATATTTTTTTAAACATTCTATTGGGATGATCAGTTCTTTCAAATAAAATTGATAACCCTTTAAACTTTTTTTGTATCTCCAAAACCGCTAAACCTGCCTTTGACAATTTATCAACACAAATCGAATGTTTTTTAAATCCTTTAAATCGGTTGATCGGCTCTGATGTCGTCGACAAAAAATTAAAGCGTCTTAAAAAAACGACATTTTGACATTTTTGAACCAATTTTAAAAATTCAAAAACGGATCGAAAGTTTTCAGTTGGCGATCGTCCTGAATTGTTTTTCGTCAAGATCGACCGCACAGTTTCTTCGTAATTTATTGTAAAAATCTTTTTTCAAAAACTTGTTAGTTTCATCTAACATAAATTTTATGGAACTACGATAAATGATTAATTACAAAAACTCATTAAATTTTAGAATAATGGGACGAGCTTTTAGACCATGTGTACCTACTATGTGATGTGCGGATTTGTGCACTCAAATTAGTATGAACATAGATTTTTTAAATCTAATTAACCACTTGCAGATTGCAAAATTTTGTCTAATTAGTTATTAAGTCGGTGATTTCCAACCATTTTTTATTCATAATGATCGAAAAAACATAAAATTTACTAATCAAATGGTTGGGCAAAGGGAAACTTTTTTGCGATAATTATTTAATTTTAGTGCTTTTTAATAGCTGGAGAACAAACCATTTTTGCCGAAGAGTTTGTTTATTTTAACTTGTGTAATGTCTATTTCAATTGGTGTATTTATCTGATTAAAAATAAATCTCATATACAGTTATAGTAATCGCAAAAAAATCTAAAACAAAAAATTTTATATATCTTCAAAGATTTCTGAACATTTTGGCAAATTTTCGTCGGCGATTTTGCGAACATGGATCAACCAATTTGAAAAATTCAGAAAACATTTGTCATGTATTGAAGGTAAGAAGACGTGCTGATTTCGAAGCCGTTTCGAATATACGGGGCAAAAAGTGCCACCCTGATTACATTTTTAGGAAGGCAGGTCTAGCGGTTTTGGAAATCCAGTAAAAAAGCACAACAAAAGCCATTTGGCATATGCACATCAAATTATCAGATATTTTATAAAGATTTTAATTAATAGTGAGTTGTTAGACTGCAACGCGCCGTTTACGCACTTCGATATTTCGTCTCTAAGCAGCTAACGCAACGTGATTGCTTTGAAAAAAAGTTCGAAATTTTCAACAAAATATTTCAAATTAAAAAAAGTCAATTTCTTTCACTTTTCAAATTTTTTAAAAGCTTTTTAAAAATTTAAATTACGGCACGAAAAGTTTCAGCAATTTGCCTTTAGGCACGATGCCATGTACCACTAGTCAACTTGCAACTGGCAAAAAAGGGGGGCCTCGCAAACGAATTTCGCCGACGCCCACGAATGATCTAGCGCCGCCACTGCCAGTAAGATTTCAATAATTTTAAAAAAAATCTATCTTTTTTTAAAAACAGTTTTATCTTCAGATTTTAATATCGAATTTCTAACTTTTTTTTTGCTAAACTTGCTTCTTCTGCAAGACATTCAAAATTTGTGTACTTTTTATACACATCGTGAAATATTTGTACAATAGGATAACAGTTAACAGAAAATCAGTTAGTTTTATCGGAGGTAACCATTTCGTTGCCAATATCTATGAATCGTTTTTAAAATTTTGCAATGAATAGAGTGGATAAATTTAAGCTTTTCTATAAGCTCAGAAAAATCTTGATCGAATTTCAATTAAAAACAAAAAAGAATCATTGTTAATTGATCGATTATCGAGCTAAAATGACTATTATGAAATAAGAGAGTGAAATTTGGAGTTGTATATAGTTTTCCATTTCGCATTAAAAAAAATTAAATTAAAGAATAAAATTTAAAAAAAATTGTTACGTTTGTACAACTCATAAAAAAATAAATTGCTTTTTATTTTTGAATAAAATTTAAAATTTTCCATAAACTCAAAAGTTTGAACTAAAATTAAGTCAAAAAGATTCATTGACTGAGCGCGAGAATAATGTAAATGCAACAAAATTACAAAATTGCAACAAGAAAAGAATAAATATACAAAAATAGAAAAGTATATATTTTATATAATTACGAGTGTATATTATAAGTGTATATAAATATTAATACAAAATAAAAACAATAGTTAAATACAAAAACTAATTTACTTGAAAACTTTAATGAGAAATTTGCCACTGCTTTTTCATATATGCTTAAAATCAGCCGTTTTTCTTCATTTTATTTTTTTGAATGAGGAAAGTAGCAACGCGTATGCAGCTTTGATGTTTCACTCAATCTTGATCGATGGAAATTTTTTATGAATTTTATGGTTGAAATTAACAAAGGATCCACAAAAAGTTGTCTGGATTGGGTGTGTGACATATGTTTTCTCATGTACCTTTTGTACCGCTGAAGATAAATCTATAGCCAAAATTGGGACGCAAAATATTTAAAAACTGGTACAATAATCTATAAATTTTCCTAAATGAATTATTTTCCAGCGACTTTTCTTTTGTGGACCTGTGTAATTATTTGTACACATACGTACTTCCAAAATAATAATTTATCATATTTTTGTTTGTTTTTTTTTTTTTAAAGCAAAGATTTCTGAGAGCTGACCTGAGTTTTATAAAAAAAAATCGATTTTT